CCATTGTCAGAGGAATCCTGATCCAGGCTCTGCTGTGTAAGAATAGAGAAGTCTTGGAGGAAGTGCTGTCAGACATAGTTAAACACAGAACCCAGTAGATTAGTAGTAGTAGTAGTTATTAGTAGATTACTTACACTAATCCCACCACCATCATGTGCGTCTTCTGAGCCATTGTCAGAGGAATCCTGATCCAGGCTCTGCTGTGTAAGAATAGAGAAGTCTTGGAGGAAGTGCTGTCAGACATAGTTAAACACAGAACCCAGTAGATTAGTAGTAGTAGTAGTTATTAGTAGATTACTTACACTAATCCCACCACCATCATGTGCGTCTTCTGAGCCATTGTCAGAGGAATCCTGATCCAGGCTCTGCTGTGTAAGAATAGAGAAGTCTTAGAGGAAGTGCTGTCAGACATAGTTAAACACAGAACCCAGTAGATTAGTAGTAGTAGTAGTTATTAGTAGATTACTTACACTAATCCCACCACCATCATGTGCGTCTTCTGAGCCATTGTCAGAGTCGAGGTCAGAGGAATCCTGATCCAGACTCTGCTATGTAAGGATAGAGAACAGATTTATATAAAGCACGCGTATGGTAAGCATGGCTATACTGTATAGGTGAAATAGATAGGGTGTCTGCACCTACGTCTCAATTTAGTTTTTTCGCTAGGTGCACAACTCCAAAAAAAAGTCAATTTGGGAACGCTGATGGGCTAGACCCGAAACGTTTGTCTCCCATTGTTTGTACGTATCTATGGCTTATTGTCATCCATCGCGGGGAGGGCGAGCAGGGAAGCAGGCAAAGTGCAGCCAGAACGTCAGGTACACTGGATTTATTGTACGTAGACGGACAAGTACGGACAACACACTGACACTACAATGACAGATCTGGGGAAGACAGACTGAGACTCGGACTAAATACAAAAGACTAGGCAGAAATAACAGGACACAGATGATCACAATTGGTAACCACACGAGGTAACGAGGTGGGCGTGGCACACATCGGGATCGAACGGAGCGGATCGTGACACTTATACTGTTTCTGTATTTATTTTCAATACAGTTTTTTGATATCATTTAGCTGTTGTGTACGGTTCCTTTTTTCCTTGATCTTATATACTGTATATACATATACATACATGTTTGGTATGCATTATAATAAGGCTGTACTTATATATCATATCAATATTTAATAAATCCATGCAAAAAAATATACTCCAAGGAACTCTCTTAAAATAGGGCCCAATGCCAACCGCCTGCAGCGTGGATGGCAAAGATAAGATTCTTCCACCAAATGCCTCAAATTATCCCACTCAACATTTGGTCTGACCCAGGACTACTTATTTGCTCAACTTTCTTAACAGATACTAATCAAGAAGGATTACATTTCAATAAACTGGTTAAAATGTGGCCATTTAGTGCAGCATACTGTCTAATATCTACAAAATACACACAAGTCATGTTCATGACTCACCGTTTCCTGGTTTGACTCATGCATGTAGATGGCCTCAGTCAGTTTCCTAGGATAAGAATGAAAAAATAACCTTATTTTAATGAATATATACTCAGCAAAAAAAGAAACATCCCTTTTTGAGGACTGTGTATTTCAACAATAATGTTGTAAAAATACAAATAACTTTACAGATCTTCATTGTAAAGGGTCTAAACAATGTTTTCCATGCATGTTCCATGCATCAATTAATTAACATGCACATCCGAATATCACACCTACGTGACAGGTACAGGATGGCCACAACAACTGCCCGAGTCACACCAGGAACACACAAGCCCTCAGTCCAGCCTCTCTCAGCCTATTGCGGACAGTCTGAGCACTGATGGAGGGATTGTGTGTTCCTGGTGTGACTCGGGCAGTTGTTGTGGCCATCCTGTACCTGTCACACAGGTGTGATATTCGGATGTACCGATCCTGTGCAGGTGTTGTTACACGTAGTCTTCCACTGCGAGGATGATCAGCTGTCCTTCCTGTCTCCCTGTAGCGCTGTCTTAGGCGTCTCACAGTGCGGACATGGCATTTTATTGCCTTAGCCACA